GGCGAAGCATCGAATACTTTTTAAAATACCCTTTTGGCCACATTTGTTCTTTCTGAAGATTTTTCTCAAGAAGAGAATGATGCTTGAACTTTTGCGAGTGCTGTCGGGAATTTGATGCTCTATCTAAACAATAACCCTAAGTGATCATTTGCTTAATTCTCGTTACGTGATTGCAAAGGCACATACTGTGCAGCTCAAATTTGCGCCACTTTGCGCAAAATTGGGCAAAAAAGCATAGGATAAAAATGTAAAGAAGAAGTCGTGAGAGAGAGGCTACGCTGGTATGAAAGCATTCTTCCTTTCTACGGTTTTAATTAAAATGTACATATGAAATCGAATTTTAGTTTTACAGATTATTTCATTCCCGTTTTCAATTAGAGCAAGGACATATATAATTGAGAAATGTACAATTAAGTATCGAAGTCATTCTTTAATTGTATTGTTTTTTTACTTCGCTCTGAGATTGGCCTAGAAAGCTTGCACCACGCTCTCGACCAATCCGATAAAAGTTTCAAACAAATCGTGCCGTGGTCTCTTACATTTCCTTGTGGATGATCAGCGGCGTTTCCTAGTTGATAATGCTAGCTGCTAGTATAACTAACTTCTATTTGATGTCTCCCTATTTCTGATTTGACATCTGCAGTCTTGGTTTTGCGACAGGCCTTTTATATGTTTACGTCAATTTCAATACTCAAGCAGTCCCCTTATCCAAAGTATTAGAAGTTCCGTTTGCGTGGGACGGAAACACCCGCGTGAAACGTGTCTTCGCCACCGATCCAATAATCGCGTGTTTCATCGCGCGCATATCGCGTTCTTTAGATCTCTGAGCGAATCCCGGATACTTTGTGAGTCAGTGTTTTCAAAATAAAAGCCAGATTTTAAACTTTCCAAACAACACTTTGGTCAGACCAAATGTTTTCGTCTCCAAGTAGTCAAGATAGGCTGCACGATAAAAGACCTGTTTCGACTGATAGAGACCTCAAAAAAGCCGTAGAAATATAATTTAGTTTTGTGGAATTGTGGTCAGCCTCAACTCACACTTTGACCCGCCGTTTGAAAGGCCTACTCCGGGTCGCCTTTTTGCGAAGTTGATCATCAAAAAAAATATGGATGGTATCGTTATTTTAAAGATTCAACATTTAGCGAGAAAATTCTTGTTGCATAAGCCACTGTCAAAATGTCGGCATTTTCAAATTGTTTTTCCTTTTCACACACAAGCGCTAAAAGTCTTTTCGGATAAGAAAAGGACAATATACTCTTATTTACTGGACATGTTGAATTAATAATATTTCGTCAAAATGGTTTACTTTTTCCTTATTTCATCCATTACATATCATGTCTCGTTTCTGATTGATATCATTATAAAAAAGATTTTTTTAATAAGCTCCCCTGCTCAATATCGATAAGGTTTCAAAACGAGCGTAGGAAAATATTTTCATTGAAAAGCGAAAGGTTTTAAAATCGTTTCCTTTCACATACATGATTTCATTTCAAAGTCAGTTTTGTACACCGGCTTGGAAAACCTTTAAATTTACTGATGTCAAATCTTGTGAAACGAAAGCGCATTGGTTGACTGAGTCTTAATCGGAAAGAGTAAATATCGAATAAAAATGCTGTCTGGATGAGACAGTTACCAAGCCTGCTTAGTAAGGTGCCTTTGCATTCTAAAAAAGAGGGATTTCTGAAATCAAAGTACCAGCGATGACAGACTTGTTAATTGTTCTACTTGCATAATTAAAGCTTTTCCGCGGGCGACACACATTGAAAAACGATCAATCACGTACACTGTAGTTTTCGCTCGGTTCAACTCTCGTCTTCCGCAACGATACAAGTTTCTTTATCTTCTCTCGAATTATCAAAAAATATAATAAAGAAAAGAGTCCAAAAAGAGAGGCATACAACCAATTCAAAGTGACGACTAATGATGTTTGGGCGTAAGCTTTTGAATAGTTTGCTCAAAGAATTACTGTAGTCAATTATTTGATTTCGTAATGTTTGTTTATGAAATTGAATGTACCTTCCTCTGAAACGAAAACAGAGCCAATCATCCAGACTTAATTGTTATATTGTGTAGTCGAGCTTGAACGCTCAGGGGAATACAAACAGTCAGGAGGCATTGTGTGTACACCGACGTTGGATAAAGCTCTTGTGTGGCCATAATGTAGCATACTTTTGAAGCAAAACTGTACACGTGTTTTATCTCATCGCATCAACTCGTTTATTTAAACGCTCCCGAGCTTTTTCAAGGTAAGTGCGGGAATTTAAGTGAATTCTATTAGAGATGCATTTATGATTGAGAAGTTAATTACTGTAAACCGCTAGTTACCAGAGGCCGGTTGGCAAACTTGAGTCAGTTTCAGTGGTTAGACGACCTTGGAGGAAATCGCAAAAATCTTGCCAGACAGTCGAGGAGAGCAAGCACTGGTTTGAATAGCTCTCTTCTCTGTTTACAAAATGTAGAGTCTGCCACAGGATAATCAGATCTAAATGCAGTCCTCTGTAAAATTGTGTCCTATGAGTTTAGAATTCGGCATGCGTTGTTCATTTTTGATCCAACTTCCGGTACATTAATGGATTTTTCTTTTCTCAATAGATAGTGACAGTAATTAAGCCTCGAAAATTGAAATCATCAACCAGTCAAAATATATATATCAATACACCAGGAAGTTATTTCGATAAAGTGATAATGTGGAAATGGATATCTCGGGAATGTTTTTTATTAACCTTGGGAAGCATTTGGCATCAGCACAACTGTTGCCACAAAAGCGCCGCGAACTAGATACAACACATCACGTCTGGAAGACTTTTCAGATTTTGCTGTAAATGTCTTGACCCAAAATAACCGCAAAATCAGCCCAGATAGATGACAAGATGGGTTAGAGAATATTTAATACGAAGATATGTTCTTAGATATCGCCCGACAATATCACTCAAACTGAAAAGTCCTTGTCGAAGGCTCAACGGACATGGAAGTTTACGGAGGTTGTGTTTAGCGTCGTTTATCGAGGTTCGTGAGTAATTATGGAACTTGTTACAGGTCACATAGTCTGTGCTCCCCTACTTTATGGCTTTTAGCCATAAAACTGTACAATATATACAAGACATGGCAGCGTTCCACTGACGCGTCGAATTAACTTTCTAGCATAGACATTTTGAAATATGAGTTACTCACTTTGAACATACCTTGATAGCACTCTTCTTCGAGCAAAAGCAATGCTGAAAATTCATGATTGTTTACACGTAAATAATGAACTGATGTTGGGGGAGTGGGGGATAACGGACAGAAAGGTAGTGTGGAAAGCCTTTTTTTTTTTTTTTTTGTTTTTTTTAGTTTGAATCACTCTGAACCTAATCTGAACATTTGTATGGACTTTTTTTTTTTTTTTTGTAAGACCCACCACCCACCCCACCCTCTACATCCCTCATACAGTAAAAGATTATCCGAAACAGAAAATCATCTTACAGTCAAATATTGTCTGATACATATCATGATTTCATTTGATAATAACCAGGGGAAAGCGTTCGCCGCTTTACGCTGGCACTATTTGATGAGAGATACAAATTTTCCGATTTTGATAAAAACGGCTACTCTTGAAAGACAGCCTGGATGGAATGTATAACCCTCTAAGTGGACTTAAACAAGTCCTGAAAACTACCCGTTTAGATTACCCTCTGTTGCCACAAATAGATTCCCAGAGGTAGTTCAAGGAAACCCCCTCCTATCTCTTCCTCCCCCGCGTTCATCTCCCTCCCCCCCCCTCCCATCACCCTCTTAAAACACTTTTCGTTCTTGGTACGAGTACGTTGACACGTTTTAACCAGCGTGTTTCTAAAGGGAAAATGTTACAAATTGGAAAGGTCAATTTCTCGATTGATCTCTGTCATACAAGATTATATTGTTAATGAAATTATAAAGTACAACCAGCTCATTATGTACACCTACAAAGGAAAAAAAGACATATGTTGCGGTTTCAGGGTGAAATTACGCGTCGACAGTGATTATTAAAATGGCCGTGTGGAGAGAGGGCAGGGAAGGGCGCCATTTTAGTGCGATCTGCAGGTGATCGTCTGATATGAGACGTTGATTGACAAGCGAGAAATCTGATGACTAGAAATCGATAAGTTTCCTCCCCGATCAATAACACAGGATGTATTGACGGCGAATGCTGTAAGCGCTATCATACTTTCTTTCACTTTGCAGCATACGTACGCACAGTTGTAAACTAGATCCGATCTGTGGTCTGTGCACAAGATGCTGGCTGTAATTTTAACAATTTTAGCTCTAACGGAGTTTGGAGAGGGGAAAAGATGTCCCGTCGAATGCACATGCTCCATGGCCAGAATGGAGGTTACATGCTTGAAGATGACGTCCTTCCCATCCATGGACAGTTTTCCGGCCAACACAAGTTCACTGTAAGTGTAAAAATTTTCGTATTTTTGTTCCTCGCTATAGAAATCGGAAATCAACCCTTTTTTTCCTACCTTCGGAGGAATTGGAATTTTGTCATTGTATAATATGTGTCACAAACATCATTCATTTCTTATGTAAGTGATGTGTTGTTTTGTGGCAAACCTCGGCTTCCTCGTGGCATGTCGCAATCGGTCGCAAGTAAGCTGCAGAAAATTTTTTCAAACATCCTTTTGTCATTTAAGGTTGCTTGCTGAGCGGAAGTTTGCTTTTTCATATTCTAATTGCAGGCCCTAAGCGTGTTGCGGAACTCTCTATATTATTTCGTAACATTGTTTGCCGCCGTAGGAAATAAATCTTTTGTCACCGTAGTTATTATCGTTTTAAGAAGTACATGGACTTTGGAATAGGCTTTTACACTTGATTACTAGATTCTTGTTTTGGTCGAGTTTTGTATATTCTTGGTAGGAAATCGGTTTCAGCGCATCAATTGTGGTCTCAATTCTATAAATATCATTTTATCCGAGGTCGTGGAATCCTATAAACGCCATGGTTTGGCGCGATCCCGTCTGTGGGTCAGTTTACAAATTGTCAAAATTACGCTGCAACATAGATTCGATGCTCTTGAACTGGTAATATTACAGCTAAGAAATCAACCCCGCTTTTTACGTTGCAGCCTCGCTAAGAAACACTCGATTATCCTTGCATTTAAGTTTCTTTTGTAAAATATCTGCTCCAAAAAATAAACTTTGTATGCAAGTTAATTTTAATCACGAGTTCTTTGCAAACGAGTGTAAGGCAAGTAGTAAATGTATGTTAATGTCTTCACACAAACCATGTCAACACAAACGACATCAGTTTAATAACAATCTTTTTTTACGCTTCAATTACTGTTTATTTTTAATTATCTCGTGATTCCTTCTTCCTGTATTTAAGTGAAATGATCTATACTTGTTTCATCTTTATATCCTCTCATAAGGATATTTGAAGAGATTTGTCAAGAAAATCTGCCGGCAAGCATTAAAAATCCACCTCACGCCGCCTCACAAGGGCTTTACCATCTGTTATTATAGTTCAATCTTTCCAGCGATATTATCATGTTTTCTATTTTGCGGTTCGCATGGTCTTTATCGCTGACACGTGTCACGTTGAAAATTCGTCGGCTTAGAGAAGGACATGTTATGGAAACCATCTGAACGGCAGATGAAATTCACTAAATCTTTTGTTGGCTTTTTTTGTCTCTTTTATTTTCAGCTTCGGATCAAAAGTTTAAGAAATCTCGCCTCAAAAATGTCGGAGCTTGTTTCGATATCTAATATCACATGATCTCAAGAGTGTGTTTTGAAATGACTTAATCTTTTAGTAAATTTTGGTAGGATCGATTAGGGTTCGTGACTTCATCAACGTTAAAGGTGCCACTTGAAATACTAGAAATGTGTCACGAACTCGCAAGACGAAAACAAGTTTATTTAAACACCCCGACAGAAAAACGCGGGAAATATTTTTAACAGGATCCATTGTTTTCTCCCAAAGGCGAGCTCTGACTCTTAACAACAGGAAAACACTTAGATATTTGGAAAGCTTCTTTATTATTTTTGTCTGAGGTTTTGCTTTAAAAGCTCCAATTTACACCTATTGTTACATCTTGGGAAGTTCAGGTCTTTAACTGGTATTTTTTACCACCCACGTGGAGTGCAATGATAATTTCAAGCTTTAACTTTTAATTATTGTGACTAATCCTTTGAAATGCGAGGCTCCTTTAGATTTAAATATTTTTTTAAAGATTTTCTTTTTCCGGAGTCTCTGCATTACTGTTTATTTGAATTTTTGACATTTTGACAGACGCTGTAAATGGTGTCGGATCACTGGTGCC